ACATGTACAATAATAACCGTTATGACTTGTTCAAATACAAAAAAACACGCAATAAGAATCGATGAGCAAAAATTACTGAAATAAATTATGAAAGAATGTAGGAGATGGTGGTCAATGGTCATGGTTGGAGGGCTAAATCTTTGATCATGGAACACAATCGAAAACCAAAAGGCCCGGCATGATGGTAAAGTAGAACAACATTCGGAGAAGGGTTTTAAAACATGAAAGATTAATTGCTTTGTTTCGTATACAGTGATCCTTCCCAAGTTAAGAAAAATGTCTTTTAACACAGAATAATACACGTGGATTATTGTGTGATGTGACTGCAATAACATTAATGCTTTCAATCATTACATCAGTAGTTGGGTCTCAGATTTCGTTCAGTAGTAGCCATTCATCCTATACTGTACTTCCCTTTAGTTGTTTCCATTCTCTTCGATGTGCTTGGCACTTCCACTGGTTTATTTTTAGGAGGGGAATGCATATCCTGTCCAATAATCCTATCAGAAGAAAAAAATGTCACTTTTTTATAGACATTGATACATCTTAATAATATGCCACCTATTCAATGTACATGATTATAGAGAAATAAGTACAAATTCTGCCCCTGTGAGGTGGAGACCACAGAAGATGCTGCCCCTGTGAATTAACACCAATAACAGATCTTTAGAAAATATGTTAAGAGTGTCAAGTACACAAATTTTGGAAATTCCAAATATATTAAAATTCAAATAATTTTTTTTATTAGTATATTAATTTATATATATGAAAAAAAAAATTGGGGGAAGACCCCTCAAGCATAATAAAACTCCCCCACTGGCACGCTTATTGGAAGTAAAGTTGTCTGGTATATTCAAAAGTTTGACGGCATGATTTCTAAAATTTGACTTCAAATATTTGAATCCATTTGATCTAGTCTAACAAAACAAACAGGTCAAAAGCTCTAAAAAGTTTGTTGAAAATCACCAGGCTCATTTAGTTGGAAATATTGTTTGTCTAATTTTAATTTAAAATTTATATAAAAAAAATATATATATATATATATATATATATTTATATATTAAAAAATAGAAAACTTCTAGTCTAACTTGATGGGCTAATGAGTCACATCAATTCAAAGTATATTTGTAAGAGTTTCAAATTAGATGAAGTTGATTACTTTTCACCGTGAAAATGATTTGAAATTCATGCCTCAAAATATGTTTGAATCGGATTGAGTTGAATTTCTTTTTTAAATTTTGATACGGGTTAATTTTAAATTCGACTCACCCGAATTGAATCCGTAATGAAACGAGTTGCTCACAATCTACCTAATTTTTCTAATAAGTAGTTTTTGTTAGGATAATCATTTTATAATAAAATATTAAAAATTGAAATGGAGATTCGAGTTAAATTATTTTTGTATAAAATAATTATATAATATGAAAAATTCACAAATCTCTACTTAGTAACTCAATTTTTATGCAAAAACAAATTTGAATCGCTATGAAATCATTAAAATTTTGTTAGAGAAATTTTGTGATATCTTTGTTGGATAAAATCTCATATTTAATTCATCATAAATATAATTTAAGATCTTTCTACCTTTATATAGATTTAATTAGAAAATTTTTGTTAATTTTTTAATTAAAAAATTGTAATTAATTGAGTCAAATCAATCCATTTATTCCACCAATTCATGATGAGTTAGATTAGGTTAATTTTTTTTTTACTCACTCAGGTTGAATTGAGTCACTAAATTGTGATCATTGTCAACTAGTGATGGATCAAACCGGGTGTAATAACCGTTTTCATACAATTTTTTTTTATTTGTTATATATATATATATATATATATATATATATATGGGTTCCAACGAAATTTGAAAATAACAGAGGGTATCTTGTTAGTATTATCCTCAGGAAGATAAAGAATATAACAGAAAGAAAACCCACTGATGTATAGAATCTTATCCGGAGAAGAAGGTTGGTAGTTATCTTTGACAAAAATGATGAACTATGCTTACTTTCTAAGCTAGTTCAGAATCCAGCGAAGAGGATATAACACACAGACCGATGCATGGCAAAAAAATTAAGTAAAAAGAAGGTGATTTGAGAAAGAGATAGACTATGGGAAGCTCATATAGCAGCAACATATCAAGTGTTGAAGTGTCAAAGAGCCCTGACGGGAAAGACCAATCTGTGGTATACTCAACTCCCGATTCAAAAACCTGCACCCTTCATGCCAGCGTGGGCGTTAGCACTGCAAGTGTCTCTCTCAGAGACTACACTTTCGACAGAGAAGGAACCAGAGTGGACATTACGGTTCGAGACATTGAAACCAACAAAGAAGGCCGTAAAGGCGTTGGCGCCATAGATCTCAAATACGGAGGTTCTACTTTAGACGTTCGCAAAGACGCAGGGCAGTTTAGCATCGGATACGGCGTTCCGCACGTCAGGTGTGGTTATCTGGTTGCTACCAAACACGACACCACCGCACACGGCGGCTCTTTGTTTGTGACACACGTGTGCAGCACTGCGGAACAAAGGTTGTCTCTCGTTGTTGTGCAGGTTTGGTACGATGCTGCCAAAGGCTCTTTTGTGTGCAACATAACTGGTCCTTCCCGACACGCTTCGTTTGTAGATTTGGTGGCGGCTATGAAGAAGGCTTATGGTGGCTGTGTTGATTCGCCTAGTTCCTCCGCGCATGCAGCATTCCCCAACACACGCATCATAAACAATTCTGGTGAATTCCATGGTCATCTCAATGGTTCTATGGTCAGTGATTCCATGATCAACTTTTTTAATGTCTACATGATCAGTAAGTGAGAATTTGAACAGTAGATCAATGTAAAACTCACTTCATCATGTTCATGATGTTCACAAAGGGATTCAGCATCATCGCATGTTAACTTGTATTTGTGGAGATTGTGGTAGTAGTCTTGTTTTCTTTCCTTCTCAGTAATCGGGCTTTCAGATTTCAAGTTAATATTTAAGGTGATCTTCACTTATTGAAACAAATGAGCTGAATTGTTTACGCCAGCATTTTTGTTTGTACAATCTGCCTTAATTTAATGCCAATGGTACTTACACACAATTTATCCCTCATTATTCTTTATTTTTTTCTTTGGAAATATAAAAATTAATTTTTGTTCAAATCATTTTAATTTTATAAAAAATTGTCAAATGATAGTTAAATGATGTCAACGAATTTTCTTTTTCATATATTAGTATGTAAATTGGTTGTAGAATTATAAAATTAAGCTAAACTTCCACGTTAACGATTTTAATTATTTGAGTGAATTTTAGGCAAATTTTTTAAAGGAAAATTATAGTTTGATACCCTTTAAAAAATATACTCTTACATAACAACTCTGTGATAATACAATAATATATATATATATATATATATATTAAAATTCTAAATTATAAAATAAAATAAATATGATTAATTTAAAAAATGATTAAAATATTATTATCTTGAGTTGTTAATATAATTGATTTTGGGTATATTTTGTAATTTGTCACATGGTAAGATTTGCAAATTTTAAATTTTAAACAATCATAGTCTTCTATGATGCTAATTCGTATTAATTCATCCGTGGAAGAACATTTATGGTGAATTTGATCATAGTGAGTTACACTAATTAATCTACTATATATTTCCAATTGGCATAATCGTATCTGAATTATGATCTCATCACTAGAAAACAAAAAAAAGGAAAAAATAAAAATAGATTAAACTACTTAATTCTTTTGTTTCTTTGTTAAACTAGATTGAAGCTTGCCAAAAAAAATTATCAACCGTAACTAAAATATAAATAAAAGAATAAAACATTAGTATCCAACCCAATACAAATAAAAACACTGGTCGACAACAGGCTTCGAATCTGCACAGACGAAGCCCAACAAATCGACCTCTACCATTGTGTTGAATTATCATTTTCTGATATTAAAAAATCTTTCCTTAACCTATAGTATGAGTAAAACTTATTTAAAAATATCCTATGTCAAAGATATATTATTCTTCTTTCATGTTCTAATTACTAATTATTGTTAAAAACAATCTTTCACAAATTTTGAAAAAAAAACTTTGGACACCCACTAATTCCCACTAATTCAATGTTTCTAGTTCAGAGTTTATCAGATGCTCCCAATTAAATTTTTTTTTTCGTACTCAAATATTCACTTCAAAGTTAACTTTTCTTTTTTGTCTAATAAAATCTCAATACACTCATTCACACTTTTTTTTCGAGTCTTTTAACATTGTCTTTAGCTGTTCTTCTAAGTTTTTAAAGCTCTACTTCTAAGCCGCACATGATTGTACTTGTAAAAGGTATTTCGATATTTAAGTCAGTATCCAAATAATTAAGTTAGCATAATGAAATCTAAATTCGTAAGAAATGCAATCACCTATCTTCTTACTTCATATTTTCGTATTTATAGTTTTTGAAATAAGTTTGTGATTGACATAGTTTTAAACATGATCTAATTTCTGGTAATTTTTTTTTAACTATAAACTTGATTATGGGTAATATTTAAGATTTTTAAGTGTTTGTGACCTTTTGATCATAGTTGATATTTGATCGAAGTGTTGCTTGATATGAATCCTAATATGATAGTCCTAAGCCAGTTAATCAATAATTGCCCAGACAGCCACAGTACAATAACAAAAAAAGTAATTAGTTGTAAGTATTTAGTATATTGCATGGGAATTAAAAACAATATCAACAACTTAGAAGGCATAAACTGAAAGAGCAAATATATGTAATATTGAAAGAGTAAAGATATTCAAAATTGAAAAGGGATTTAAGTAGTTCCCTCACAAGAGAATTTGAATTGAAACTAAAGAGATTAAAAAGAATTATTAAGAATAACACAGGTTAGGAGTGAGATTACTCTTTTTCGAGAGTGCTAAGAATATTCTCTATAAATCTCTGTTTAATAATAAAACTCCTGTATATTCACTACTAACACAGTTTATTCGCACTAGGGTAAAATTAATTTTTTTCACATAATTGGAAAAGTGCATCGTAGAAGTTTACCAATTGAAACAGCTGCATGCTGATTTTTCATAGGCGTGGCTATCAAATCTTGTCCATCCATGTCCCACTTTCTCTACCTAAGTCATTGACTTTTGTTTAGTGAAAAGGACTTCAAAATGCATGTTTTCCAACTATGATTTTGAGGGTTACAAGAGCTCAATCAAAATTACAACAACATACATAGACAAATTTTATTCAGAAGTTATAATGCAAAGTTATGCTGTTTAAAAAATTGAAAGCCGGATCCACTATTTATGTAATAACTACAACCTTTTATAATACATTCGAGAAAGCTAAGATTTCAACTCATTATATAAGAAAAGTATAAAGCTGCATCAGCCTACGCAATGGATGTTATGCAGTCAAAAATGTCTGCAACTCACGGGATGTATATGCAGGCTTCCACTACACTGGACAGTGGTTGACCCCACCAAAATAATCATTTGTTGCTTTATGCATTTTAATGGTTATTATCATTAACACACATAAAAACAAGACATTAGTTAACTTCTTCTGTTCTTGTTGGTAGCAGTTGGCCTTGTTTTCTTGTGTTGGAAAGGAAGCTCAACAACATTGCACCTTTGTCAACTCTCTGACTCTGTCTATCTCCCTCCATGGAGTAGTTAGGACCTAATTTTGTCTCCACTTATTCCATATATTGACTCGTTTGAAAGATGTGCCACTGATTAAGCTGGTGAAAGAAATCATGATGAACATGTCATGAAAAAAAGAACATTGAATTTATATTTTCCTTCCCAAAAGAGAGTTTGTTAAATTGTTTCTCTGGCGAGATGTTTAGTGTCATTAGAAGAAAACTCCGGCACCTTTATTCAAGGATACTGTGGCTACTATGGAAGCGCCCCAGGTCTAAAGTTGTGATCAAAAGGTTTAGAAAATTGAACTTTAAGGCTCACCACCCCAGAGCAAAATTGAGTAAAAACAAATCTAGAAGTGACTCAAATGGCCTATTGGTTGAGTCTGAATCTGGAAGGCCTATTAGGATTGCTACATTCAATGTTGCCATGTTTTCACTTGCACCTGCTGTTTCAGAATTTGATGAATGGGTTGTCTCCAATCATGAGCATAGTTCTAAGAAGAAGAATCTCGCAAAGGGTGACTTTCCCAAGAGTATACTGAAGCAATCTCCATTGCATGCCTCTCTGAACAAAGCTCAGAGTCTTTCTGACTCCAACATTCTGCCACGTTCAAATTTGAAGGTTTCTATTAATCTTCCCGAGAATGAGATTTCATTGGCAAATAGTAAAGAGGGCACATCAGATAGAATTATGGGAAATGTTTCTGGCAGGCATCAGGTCCCTGCAAGGTCTCCTGTGTGTTTTCCTTTCATTATGAACTACTGTGAGGGCAGAGAGAGATTCGCAAGCAGCAGAAGCATCCTGGAAGTTCTGAGGGAGATTGATGCAGACGTGATGGCCCTGCAGGATGTGAAAGCAGAAGAAGAGAAGAACATGAAGCCTCTTTCTGATTTAGCAGCTGCCTTGGGGATGAAATATGTGTTTGCTGAGAGTTGGGCTCCAGAATATGGAAATGCCATCTTATCCAAATGGCCAATTAAGAAGTGGAAAGTTCAAAAGATTGCTGATGATAATGATTTCAGGTGTTTTATTCCTCCCACATTTCCTTTGAAATGATTACCACTCTTCAGTTAAAAGAAGTTAGTCATGAATCACGATGATGATAGTGATTATTATGATTTGTTGAAAGACAAAAACTGCCATGCCTCTGTCATTCTCTGATATATTTATCAGTGTAATTAACTACACAAAAATATTGAAATAGAATAACTTACAATACCAATCCTTTATTGTTGTTTTAGACTATAGATTTTTTCGGTGTACAACTGCAATGACAACTCCATGTGTGATTTAGGAATGTTTTGAAGGCTACAATTGATGTGCCTTGGGCTGGAGAAATAAATTTGCATTCTACTCAGCTTGACCACTTAGATGAGAATTGGAGAATGAAACAAGTGCAGGAAATATTTCGCTCCAATGACACTCCCCATATCTTAGCAGGAGGTCTCAATTCACTATATGGAGCAGATTACTCATCTGAGAGATGGACAGATATTTTTAATGTAACATTCTCAGTTCTCACAACTGTTTACATTAAATTGTTGCAGATTACTCATCTGAGATTGTTTGTTTTTGTTGCAGTACTATGAGAAACTCGGAAAGCCTAGGCCAAGGTCAGAAGTCATGAACTTCATGAAATCCAAAGGCTATATCGATGCAAAGGATTATGCAGGAGAATGTGAGCCCATTGTCATCATTGCTAAAGGCCAAAGTATATATATATATATATATTTTTTTTTCCCTTGTTTAACTGCTCTTTCTAAGTGAACTTAGGTGATTATTATGATCATGATTGTTCAAAAACATGGAAGTCTAAGTTGAGTGCTGAAATAACAGATGTGCAGGGGACATGCAAGTATGGCACAAGAGTGGATTACATTCTGGCTTCCCCAAACTCTCCATACAAGTACGTGCCAGGGTCCTACTCAGTGATTTCTTCAAAAGGAACTTCTGATCATCATATAGTGAAAGTGGACATTGTGAGAGTAAATGCATCTGCTCAGAAAAATGTCATGAGACAGTGCAGAAAACTAAAGAGTAAGGTTGTGAAAATAACACCACCATGTTCTGCAACAGGTGTAAGGGAATCAACCCCACCTACCAAAATACTTGTACCATAGGAAAATTATGTGACGAAAGTGATGAGGCATATTTTGATGAACAGTGTGTTTTCTGTTAGCTGTGAAGTTAAAACGGCATGGCCATGCAATAGAGTTTGACATTTTCTAGTGCCTGCATTATGTGTAAAGTACTGCATTAATACTGCCCTTTACCCTTTTCTTTTGTTTGTCCCTGTCTGCATATAAATAATTCATCTCAGAATGTGATCATTCCTATGTAATATCCCTCCACTGCAACAACATTTTGCATCATATTGCAAGTAATTTAAATGTTAAATTAAAGTAAAAAATTGCTTCAAGTTCAATTTGTGTTGGAGATTCTTCGTGGATTCCAGACAAAGTTAAATTACAATAAATATAAATGAAGAAAAAATGAATTAAAGAAAGAAATCAGATCATATATATATATATTTTAAAATTTTTGTTTCAAGTTCTATAAAAATTAATTTAAGTTCATAAAAAAAATATTTTATTTACTTTTTTTATGTTTCATGTGTTTATATTACAAGAAAAATGACATATACCTACAAATAAACAAAATCTGTGGATAAACGTAAAAATAGACTTTGACGGTAAAAATATTAACTTGTACTAATATATTAATTATGAATAAAAGTCAAAACAACTATATGGTAAAAATAATCAAATTATGTTTACATCCTCTAACAACAGTAGAAAATAATCCTTTGTTACTAAAATTTGTCAAAATAAAAAAAAAATATAATTAAAGGAAGAGTTAGTATAAAAACTCATACGAACACAGTTTATGAACCAAGTAATCTCCAACTATTCATATACAATAAAAAATATATTTCTTATTTTTTTAATACATGTTTAAAATTTCACAAGTTCATAGGTGAAAACAACTGTATATATTACAATTTTGTTAACCAATAAAGTATTGTTAGGTAAAAGTTTTTTTTTAGTCTAATTTTATATATGTCAAGAGATTTTAGCTACACCGAATATATGAAGGTACAAGTATTTTTGAGTTTTATCTATAGTAAGATATACTCATGAGTACAATCGTTTGTATGTATAAGTTCTTTTAATATAATATATATATATATATATAAATGAAAATATTTCTAGGACTATTATGTTTAATTAATATTACATTGAACTATTGAAAATTTTGGATTTTATAAGAAGGAAAAAACATGAGAAGTGATTATTATAAAATGCAAGTTTCATCTGTTAAAAGCAGCATAATTTTTTTTAAGACCTTAAAATTGCAAGGTTTAATTATTCCTTTTCTTTTTCTTGTCAGGATAGTTATTCGGTCTTTTATAAATTAAAAGTTATATCGAATTTGAAGAGAAAATGAATTAAAATATATCATATTTTAAATTAATTTATTTTTTAAAATAAAGTTTTCGAGAGAAATAAAAAAAAAATTGTGTTTTTATGTTCTGGAAAATAACGCCAAATGTTGTAGTGTGTGGCTTACCCGATTCTGAAGTAGATACCCACAAACACCACGATCGGATTCGGGTATGGATTCGGATCCTCTTTAAATCCAATTCTGCACTGCCATTGCAACACCGAACCGAACACAAAGTGAAGAAGAAACGGGAACATGATCCCAGTTTACTCTATCTTCTCCTTCTAAATTACTTATTTCCTCTGATTCTGCACTTCCCACAGTCCTCCAATTTCAAAGTTTTCCCTTATCTTCCAATCCATTCGTCAATGTTCAAGGTAAATTTTGTTTCTGAAACCCTAACCTCTTTATTTATTTCTAGCTGCGTTGACTTTCGTCGTTGTCTCATGATTTCGTTCGAAACTTCAATTTAATCCGATAGTACTCGTTACTCCTAATATTCATTCCTGTGATTGTCTTCATTCGTTTTATTTTTATTTACTTTTTGTCTAGATTATGATATTTCTGTTGACAGATTGTTTGGTCACTGAGAAAATGGAGAAACGAGTTACGCACCTGAAGAATTAGGATAGGGACGAATAAAGCTGTGTTGAAGTTTGTCTCTTATACAAGTGCGTTTATTTCGGTTTTTACAGAAATAGTTGCCTTGAACATAGCTTATGGGACTGGAATGTGCTTCTGCTTGACTAGTAAGAGGGAGGTTGAAGAAAAGAAAAGTTAATGCATAACTTCCTTAAAGTTTAAAAGCGTTTGAATGCTACTGTTATTGCCTTGAATTTTTCTCCATTACCATGTTGATAGTTATATTTTAATGGACAAGAAGTTGGGATCATGATTGTAAAGGAGCATTTTGTTGGTACTGAGCTTGCAATGACTAATGCTATTGTGGAGGAGGATATAGACTTTTCTTGTGATCCGTACATAGGGTTGGAATTTGACACAGCAGATGAAGCACTAAAGTTCTACACTTCATATGCAAATCGAACAGGATTTAAAGTTCGGATTGGTCAGCTGTATAGATCAAGAACTGATGGATCAGTTTCTTCTCGAAGATTTGTGTGCTCAAAGGAGGGACGTCAACTCAGTTCAAGAACAGGCTGTCCAGCATTCATAAGGGTGCAAATAAATGGTTCCGGAAAGTGGGTGATTGATCATTTTCATAAGGACCATAATCACAATCTTGAAATCAGTGGGGAAAACTGTACTCCAACATTGGAACAGAAAGGTGATACAGTTGTGAACTCTCTTACTGAGTTTACTAGGAGGCCAAGGAAGAAATTGCTGGAAGAAGCCAATAATGATTCCTCTTGTCCCTTTGGCATTATTGATTTCAAACGTCTGAGAAAGGAAGAACTTGAAGGACAGCCCAAGACTGAACCATATGTGGGTCAAGAGTTCAGTTCACCTAATGAAGCCTACCAATTTTATCATGCATATGCAGCGCATTTGGGTTTTGGAGTTCGAATTGGTCAATTGTTTCGTTCCAAGAATGATGGATTGATTACATCCCGCCGATTTGTTTGCTCCAAGGAGGGGTTCCAGCATCCTTCAAGAGTTGGTTGTGGGGCTTATTTAAGGATTAAGAGACAGCCGACAGGAAAGTGGACAGTGGACCGCCTCCGAAAGGATCATAACCATGATCTGGACTCTGAAAAAGAGAGCAGGGTAAAAGATATTCATTCTTCTAATATTCTGAATGACGATGCAGATACTGGATTTGTGAATGGTGACTTGTTTAGAATCGATAACTACCCTGTCCCTAGAGGAGGTAGGCAAAATCACATTAGAAGTGAGTGGTACAACGTTCTTTTAGAGTATTTTCAAACAAGACAGACAGAAGATACTGGATTCTTTTATGCTGTGGAAGTTGACAATGGTAATTGTATGAGCATATTTTGGGCGGATGGCAGATCTAGATATTCATGTAGTCAGTTTGGTGACGTCCTAGCCTTAGACACATCATACCGAAAAACTGTCTATTTGGTGCCTTTTGCTACTTTTGTTGGGGTCAATCATCACAAGCAACCTGTGCTTCTTGGATGTGCTTTAGTTGCCGATGAATCTGAAGAATCTTTCACTTGGTTGTTTCAGACATGGCTTAGGGCAATGTCTGGCCGGCAGCCTCTGACAGTTATTGCTGATCAAGATATTGCAGTCCAGAGGGCAATAGCAAAAGTCTTTCCTGTAACCTATCATCGGTTTTCTTTGTGGCAAATTAAGGCAAAGGAACAAGAGAACATGGGTCTGATGGGTGATGGCTTTACAAAAGACTATGAAAAGTGTGTTTACCAGAGTCAGACAGTTGATGAATTTGACGCCACATGGAACGTGCTACTCAACAAATATGGATTGAAGGACAATACTTGGCTAAAAGAGATGTATGAGAAGCGTGCATCTTGGGTTCCGTTGTATTTAAAGGGCACATTTTTTGCTGGCATTCCCATGAATGAAAGCCTTGATTCATTCTTTGGTGCACTTTTAAATGCCCAGACACCTCTCTTGGAGTTCATTCCTCGGTACGAAAGGGGACTTGAGCGACGCCGTGAGGAAGAAAGAAAAGAGGATTTTAATACTTCTAATTTTCAACCCATTTTGCAAACAAAAGAACCAGTGGAAGAACAATGCAGAAGGCTTTACACTCTTGCTGTATTAAAAGTATTTCAAAAAGAGCTATTGCAGTGCTTTAGCTATCTCGGGTTTAAAATATTTGAGGAAGGGGGTCTGAGCAGATATATGGTGCGAAGGTGTGGAAATGATATGGAGAAACATGTAGTTACATTTAATGCATCAAATCTCAGCATTAGTTGTAGCTGTCAGATGTTTGAGCATGATGGTGTTCTTTGTAGACACGTGTTGAGGGTTTTCCAGATATTACAATTAAGAGAAGTTCCTTCTCGCTACATCTTACATCGGTGGACAAGAAATGCTGAGGATGGTGTCTTTCCTGACATAGAATCGTGGAGCAGCTCTCAGGAACTTAAAAATTTGATGCTATGGAGTCTAAGAGAAACTGCATCTAAATACATCGATGCTGGTGCAACATCCATTGAAAAGTATAAACTTGCCTATGAAATTTTGCGAGAGGGTGGGAGAAAGCTTTGTTGGCACAGGTGACTGCTTTACTGTGTTCTGTGAGACTGTGCATACTTGTACAATTATTTTTTGTAGCTTGAACTGTTTTTTTGGTGCCATTTTAGCTCTCTAATCAAATGCCCATATCTTTCATTAGACTTATATGTTAAGCAGTGCAAGTCAGGTTACTGGTTCAACCAATCATTGACCTATTCTGTTTTTAAGTAGGGATGAAACAGAGATACCCTGTGCTCGTGAGACCAATTTTTTTAAGTAGGACTAGAAACAAAGACCATGTGCACGTGATAAGAGGTGTCACGTCGGTTTCATCTTAATTGAGTATTTAATTAAGTTGCACCATCCATTTCTATTTCTAGTTTTCATTGGAAAAAAAAAATCAGAATGGTTTTCCAGTGAGTTATGGTTGCAACTGCTTCAAGAGGTAAAAATAACAGTCTTTTTTGGGGTGGGATCTCTTGTCCTCCCAACTCTTTGCTATAATCTTCTGTTTAAATGCATTTTTCTTATATTGAATGGTAAAGCTGAGACCGGGCGAAGGAAAAAGAGGGGGTTGTGTGGGTATGATGGTATCAATTCAAACTAATTTCTTCTTCCATTTTTCCCATCCTCGATCTTGAAACAGATTTTGCGGTTGTTCCTGTTTTTATACAATTTGCTGAACGAAATTTGCAATTGCAAAAGTGAACTTGAATGATTTTTATTTTTTTTGTAAAATCAACTTTTTCTTCCATTTCGAATTGAATTTCTAGGAGAAATTGTTTATAATCACTCCCTATGAAAGTCAAGCATGCCTTTGAAA